CAGGCTCTCCATGATGTACAAGATAAATAATGGGCTGGTCCACTGTTCCAGTATTAAACAGAAACTCGTCCCTCTCCCCCATAGACAGCGACAAGGCCATGACAGGCAATTCAGGCTCATACCAGCAAGAAGCCAGTATAGGAGCTGCTCATTCCTGCCCAAGACAATCAGGGACTGGAACAATCTTTCAAAAGGAACGGTTGAGGCGACAACACTATACACATTTGTGTCTATTGCCTCAAGCCTTCAAACCCCTAGTGCATGATTTCCTCATCAACACCAGTAACAGAAACCTTGCAAATCCCATCTACATGCATAGGCGCCAGTGGCGTAGCGAGGGTGTTTGGCGCCCGGGGACAAGATTCACGCCCGGGGACAAGATCTATTTTAAAGCGCACCCTTTTCTTTTTTTCAACTCTGAAACCCATTATTTTTACCAATAATATAATATCAAATCACATTTTGGCGCCCCTAACTAGCTTGCGCCCGGGGACATCTGTCCCCCCCCTGCCCCCCCATCGCTACGCCTCTGATAGGCGCCAAAATGATCAATAAATTGATCGTGGGCCCTTAAGATATAAAAGAAGAAGAAGAAGATTTTTATTAAATATATTTTTTTAAAATGTAAAAAAACAACACAAAACAAAAAAAACAACCATTTTGCCCTATGCCTATAATTTATTAATTTGGTAACGCAGGTAAAAAAAAAATAGACTTTTCATTCAATTTCATGTTTTATTGTTCAACTCTCTCATATATAGCCTAAATGATGTATCATGTTATTTGAAAAAAAAAAAAATTTTCTGGTAGAAAAATAAAAATATTTAATAACTGTTTAATAATAATAGCTCAAAATTTGTTTTTCTCTAGTCTCCCATGGCAAGGCAAAATGCTCCATCATACAATAAAATGGGAGAGTATGGATCCTTTCATCCTGTGGAAAATATATTCCATTCAGATCAAGCTCTTCTTTTAACTTTCTAATAAGAGTGAAGGAGGAGGGGGGGGAGAAAAGTGTGAAGTTGGTGGGGGGGGGGGGGGGTTTTCCTTTTTTTTAATTTTAATAAGAGTGAAGGAGGAGGGGGGGGGAGAAAAGTGTGAAGTTGGTGGGGGGGGGGGGAGATTTTCCTTTTTTTTAATTTTTAGCAAGTCCAACATTATCTTTTGTTTTGCAGTTATTCTTATTTACTTTTCGTCCTTTTTATTTAATCTTGTCCCTAGTAACGGCTAGACCGTGTTGTTACTACGCTAGTTATTGGATTAATCTGAACTATTGATTATTTATAATACAAAGCTTAGTTATTAAAGAAAAACAATATGTTATTTATTTTAAGTTATTATTTACTAAAATTAAAACAATTTCAGCTTTAGAATAATGTTTAAAAAAATAACTATTTTATTAACATTTCTTGTAACTATGTGAACCGGCCAGCGTCAAAATGGCGGAGGATACGAAAAAGAAAGACAGTGTTCCAGGTGGTGCCAATTTACCGTCCTTGCCACCAAAACCACCAGCTTCAACTCTTGCTTATTCTAGGTAAAACATGAAAGAAATATGTGTAGATCAATAGAGTAATTTCACTGACACCATAAAATATTTTTGAATAATGATTTGTGTTTTAATTGTGTTAGCACCCATGCACCTTTTCTCTTAATTTTAATAATTTAATGCCCTTATCTTTATATTATATTATTATAAATTATAATTAACTAACAGACTTAGGCTTAACTTCAAATTGATAGGCATATTTCATTTAATTATTACTATTACAAGTTATTAATTAGGCCTAATATAACTTATTTATTAAAATATTTTAACTTTTGTAGAACTACAAGTAAAAGTAAAAGTCTTACTAGTAACTACTAACAAACTTAGTTTTATTAAATTTTGAAATTTAAACATTTTTATTTAACACTTAAAATTTGTTAAACATTTTTGCAATTCAATGCATTATAAATTTATATTGAATAAATCATTTTTTAAAGATACTCGCACGAAATTTTTAGGAGAAATTCTCAATTGATAATTAATAATAGTATAAAATTGGCAAATAATGCAACCCCAACCATATCATCACAAAAAGCACCCCCCCCCCCTTTTTCAAATATTACATAATTAACCTTTGCAAACTCCCCCTCCACCCCATACAAAATCATTTCTAATTTCAAAATCACTTTTATTGTCACTAGTACTAGTATTAATGAAATGTTATTTTATTTAAATATTTAAAATCTCCCATTTAGTCATTTTAAAAATATTTCTTATATAAATGAATAATTTTGACCTTTGTAATAAGATAAAGAAAATTTAGACTATAATTATTTTAACACCATTACTTGAAATAAAATTTTCTGGTAGAAAAATAAAAATATTTAATAACTGTTTAATAATAATAGCTCAAAATTTGTTTTTCTCTAGTCTCCCATGGCAAGGCAAAATGCTCCATCATAGAATAAAATGGGAGAGTATGGATCCTTTCATCCTGTGGAAAATATATTCCATTCAGATCAAGCTCTTCTTTTAACTTTCTAATCTGCAGGGTCTATTTTTTTCATTTGCACTTATAACCCTTAGTTCACATGATGTTGTGGTGCAAGTTAGTGGTGTGATGTATTTAGCTGCTTTTGTATTAAACAATAGATGTATATCATGGCAATAGAAGTAAATTATGAGAGACATTTCTTACGAATTCTATCACTAAGCATGGATAATGTTTCTGTGCAGTATAAATCATGTGAAATAGGCAAAAAAGAATGTGAAAGGCGTTGAAGAATATCATCAACTTTTATAAAGCTGCAAACAGAGGTAAAAATTTACGGGATCCTCTTTTATAGAATTTTCAAAACTTTGGTTGTCTAAATAACTGGTGAAGAAAGAGGAAGTAATCTCTATTTTACTGTACTGAAAAAAGAGCTTCTTGGTTTTAATCAGCATTTGTTTTTGGTTCATTTTACTATTTGAGTCACGTTTTGGATTTTTTTGGTACATGGAATTTGTAATTTCATCTCTGGACAAGATGTTTTCACGGAACTCAGATTGGATCAATGACTTCAGCCACTTTTTAAAAATTATTGACTATCAATTGTGAACAATTTTCTGCTAGAGTCTTTCATGCAAACTAAAAAGTCTTCTTCACTACATTTGTGTATCATTGCTAATTATTTGTTTATTCAAATGATTTTCATGTGTTAATAATTCAGTCAGCTTCTCATTCCTCTAGACTCACTTAAATCCACTCCTTTCTGGGGCATGGGTACAATAAATAATGTGTCAGAATTATACTGTACAAAGTAATGGACAGCAACCTAAATGACACTCTAGTAACAATTATTGGTGTAATTAAATGACACATTCCTTCTCTGCACCCCACCCCCTTTTTTTTTCATCACACATCATTCAAAACTATGGAAGCCCCTTTGGTTAAATATGTAGTAACTAAGTAAAATTAACTGAACACTTAGTTTATTGCCCCATAATTTTTCTTGTCAATTTTAAAGGTATGTACAGGAAGCACCCTACCGAGCTTTGATTGGAGTAGTTGTTGATGGAAGAGAGCCTCATAAGGTAGTTCATTTTTTAATGTGGTTATTGATTAATTTTATCTTGCCAGCAATAATAGTTAATACAAAGAATATTTTCTGTGATGAAAATATAGAAAATTAATTATGTACTTATGATTAACTTTTTCAGTTGAAGGAGCTTCCACGGGATCGTGTACGACGTCAAACTGGTTTAACAAACAGATGGCGCATGCCAGACTCCCTCTACAGTGACATGTTGGGCACAACTCAAGCTTTGAAAGCCATTAACATGCCCTTCAATCAAGTACTAGCTCATCAAATCACTGGTATGTACCCAACCTGTAATCGCAACCTTATGTATTGCAAGGACTTTGCTTTCATGAATGAGCGACAGTGGAGTCTTCTCAAAAAGACTTCCAAGCCAATTACCAAAGCAGAAGATGCTGAGGTGCAGTCCATGGGGACAAGTCGTTCATTTCCAGGGAGTTAAAATACTTGGAACTGAATGATGGACAGCAATATCTGTGATTATCTTTCTTTTTTATGGTGAATACATCTGATGTTGTAACTGCAGTTCCTCATTTCCCTATGTGGGTGAATAAAAATTAACACCAGTTCGATTTTGTGAACAAAATAAATATTAAATTAAATTTTATAATATTAAAGGTTGTTTAAAATAAATTGTAAAAGTGAAAAATGTTTCTGTTATATTATTTTATGTTTCTTAATTTAATGTTGTCTTAGAGCAATTTAATATTTGTTATATTTCCCATTCTTAATTTAATAAATGGTTGAGTTTATTACTTTATTATTTTTGAACACATTGAGTTGCATTGCACAAGTGATCAAGACTAAGCTCATTTACTAATTGAACTCACTACAAAAAACATAATAGTTTATGATTACCATTTATACTTGTTCATGAACTGATTTGAAATAAAATATTTTAGGGGAATATCTGTAAAGGTCGGTTTATGTGGGAGGAGATTTTTTTAAAAAATTTCTGGGGATATTGATTCTAATATAGAAAAAAAATTGAGAAACAAGAAATAGAAAAGGCTTTGTGCAAAATTGGGTCCCATTTTTTGTCCTCATATTACAACTGCCATTATTTAATGTGTTTAGAGAGTATCCAAGTACCTACATTGAATAATGAAATTGTTATTTGGTGTTCCTAATTTTAGAACTGTTCAGTATGGTTACCACATATATCAGTAGATACACAAAACAAATGTCTGTATTATACACAATACTGTACACAATGAGTTTATAAATCTTCAACTTACAAAATAATTTTTTTTTTAAATTTTGATTTTTTTAAAAATAATTTTTCTAGTTCCGTATTGCTTCTACTGAATTATAATATCGTTAGGTTGGGTTAAACACTTTATAAGCTACTCCTGACCAAAAATAAAAGCGGGTCGGCTTATAAAGGAATGGGCTTATGAATGAGTATATACAGTAGTTCTATTAATACTTAATATTTATGTCAAATTTTCTAAACATCAAATTGGTTGCTTTTGTGTATTTGTTCTGTTAACTAATGTAATTTTTAAAAGTTTATTTTCTTAACTTTGTTAAACATGAAATAATCTTTTGAAACATGTTGCCTTTCATTTAATTCATTTTGAAGGATTTGTTACTGTGGGTCAATTAAATATAATTAATTTCAATGCATTCTTTTACTGTTCATAATTATATTCAAAATGAGCTAATAAACACATTAACTGACTTTGGAGTGTTTTATTATTAATTTGCATTAATAAAGTTTGTTTTATTACTAATTCATGGCAATGCAATCCTACAATGATGGAATGCCATTTTATACCTATTCTGAATTGTAAAATTTTGACATTAACATAAGTTTGGAGAAGCTAACCAAGAGTGCTATTCTGATTTACTTTGATGGAGGGTATGTATCAAGTATTATTCATCATATTTTGCTTTCATTTTCTATAAGTATGAGATCCTTTTTAACACTCTTGGTGACATAGTTACTTAAATAATTCCTCATTTTTCTGTTTATATTTTAAATGTGCAATTCTTCAACTGTGAAGAATAATTTTACTAGAATTTTATGTTTTATTTTTTAGAGGATAGTTTTAACCCATTTGTTGGTTATAAAATTCCTAATTTTGAAAAAAAAATGTCAAAGAAGTTACAGTAACTAACAGGAGATCAAAGCAGTCCTCATGTTCCAAAGTTTCTCCTATAGTATGTAGGCACAGGTAAGTGTGCTAATAATACCCAATAACTATACTTCTTATATTTTTAAAAGTCCCCATTCTTCTAGGCTTCAGAATTCTTGACAGTTCCTTAAAATATCTCTGTAGTGATTTCTTTGCATGTTTAGTAACAGAAAAAATAGTCATTTATTTAAGTTTGAAAATGTTTCTTTTCTTTGCACATTTCTTTTTAATGGTTCAATCTTTTATGCCACTTACAGCACATACTGTTATAATTTTTGTATGTAGTTTTAGTGTAACATATTTAGAGTAGAGTTGTTGGATCATCGTTTTCTTTTTCCATTTCTGTTTTTAATGTAGTTGCAGTCATTCTAAATTCCTTTACACTTCTAAATTAAAACATATTAATAGTAAAAATGTGGAGCTCAAAATCTCATAAAATTCATAGTATTAAAAAAAATAATTATTATTCTTATAAAATTACAAACATCATTGACCTTTTCCTTCAACATGAGTTATAACACGTTTTTTTTATAATGGTTGAGAACATCACATGTCATTGTAAAATTACAAATTAGTTTTTCAAATTGTAAATGTCTTTGAATTTAAGCTCCATGATAAATTTTAGTGGATTAACTTTCTATGTTTTAAACTGAAGAGATGAAGTGGTATAAATAAAAATTAAATCATTAAATAGTGATAACATTAACAGATATGCACACACATTGTCCTTTCTCTTTCTTTCTGTCTTGATTTTAAATCAATTTTTTTGCTATTATTATTTTTCAAGAATCTAAATAATTCAAAAATAAAAATTCATCTCTGTTAAAATTGAAGAGGGAAACGAAAAAAAAAGCCACGAACTAACTATTGATAGAAGTGATCTTAAAATGTTATAACTTTTACAAAAATCTATACCCATAGATGTCACTTTTTGTTGTAACCAGTTACTGAAACTGTGCTAGAATTGATTATTTCAAATAGTTGTTTCATAAACTGATCTGTTTCTTTAATATCAACAACATTTCCATCCTTCCGCAGGTTATCCCAAAACTGTTGATTTGTTCACAACATCCTATCAAATCAATGATCATCAAAATGTTTTGCCGACATTTACCCCATTGTCAAGGAGTGAAATATCTCTTCAAAGTACTTCACATCAGAATACTTTTGTACCTGCAATTGATTTAAAATAGTGAGCATTTTTACATTTTATACTAATATTTTTAAATAAAGGAATGCTAATTGAATCTCCCATAACAATGACAATGAGTAATTAAATAATCTTCCTTTTTGTCCGTCTCATAAGTGGTATTTCATTACTTACTAGTTATAACTTGCTTTTTAAAATATTTATCTCAAATATTCCATTAAATTAGATGAGTTTTAGGTATATCATAATTGAGGACAAGAAGCTAACATAAAAGCTGAGTATCATTATGAGAGGATATATTTGTTTATCTTGAAATAATTAATTGAGAATTATTTGACTGTCGTTGAAAGTTCCAAAAAATCTGTAAAATTTTGGTTTAGTATTCAATTTATTGTACAGAAAGTTTCCATTTCAGCTTAAACGTGTCTTTACCCAGCAGTAGTCAACCAAAAAGGCCTACATCTAAGGAAAAGTGTCTCTATAAATCATCAACAAATATGAGTACTCTGAGACCAGGTAAAAGTATAAAAAAACAACAAATTTATTTAATTTTATTGTGAGCTACAAGATAGTTTAGTGAAGAGGAAAATGTTATTTTTGGGGGGATGATGTGCAAAAATGGGGGAGAGGAGTTTTATAAATAATTTATTAATTTGAAAGAGTTTAAAGTGAAATTTTTTTTCCTGTCTAAGGATATTTAAATGTATGCAAGCAAACTGGGGATACTATGAGAAATGAAATGAATGGCATTTAACAAAAAATTATTTTCTAATAAAATAGTTGGTATCATTTTTAAAAAGTTTAGAAGTCAACTTATCATGCCAAAATAAATGAGAACAATTAATTAATACCCATTAAAGATATTTATTTGAATAAAAATCATTCATTAATTAAAATATTTAAGTTATTTATGATTAATGTTTTAGGCAAGAAAAAAAAACTACTAATCTTTGCATTATTAAATAAATTATTAAACTTCTCTGTTTACATATTTATTAGGAAAAGCTCACAAAAAGCATGGTGAGTACAAATATATATCATTGACAAATGTCTTGTAAAGAGTTGTTTTTTAAAGTGAGACATTTTTTTATCAATAATTTTAGTGTTTAAATAAAATATTAATTTTATCCTGTCTGCCCTTTTTAAAAACAAACAACATTTTTTAAAAAACAGAAATTAAGTAGAATTGCAACTTTTACTCTACTAAAATAATATTTTTATCAATAAGACCTTATTATTACAAAAATTAATTATTCAAGTGTGGACTTTATAACTTAACATCTGACTAATTGTATTTTTGCATTGCTGTGACACTATTGAAATAATCCACTTTGCTTTATTCTATTAATATTGGAAATTGTTTAGCATTGCTTAATTTTAAAAAATTGTAAGTTATTATATCAACAGCTTTTTTGTGCTTCACTAAAATATCACTATGTGAACTCCACATTATATTAAATTCGATATTTACTAATCTCAATATTCAATTGCTGTTTCTTTTTCTACAGTCACCCTAAAATTTCAACATACTTAAGCCGACTTAAGAAGTCCTTGGTTGATGGTATGAAAAATAGACACAGTGGTTTACTTTTAAAAGAGGGCAGTGCCATATTAACCAATGGCTGGACCCCTAGGATTCGAACTTCTTTGGCTCCCTCACAGCATTGCCATGGCAAGGCTAAAGGTTGTATGGGAGCCTGCTTTTGGGGGGCCGCTGGGGTTTGGCCTAGTCAGCCTTATGGATAATATGGCCCTGCTAACAGGAAGCAAAATACACAGCAAATTTTTAAAACAAATCATGTTTCTAAATGATTAAAATACTGATTGAAAAATAATTAAGTCTATTAATAATAGACATTTATAGGGGGATTGTCTTACATTGTTTCAATAGTCACATTTGAATACGTGCAGTTAGTGCACATTTTAAAAATATTTCAATGAGTTTGAAACAACATTAGTCAAACTGTAATTGTCATGTGTAAGCAATTGCTTTAACATTTTATATATCATTTTCTCCAAAGTTCATTTTATTTAATTTGCATTAACTAGTAAATTGGTGACTTTTTACCAGAATTTGTATTGCCATTAGCATAAAACCATTTTAATTTATTTTTCTTTTGTGAACTGGCTTACTCTATTAAAGTTAAAAATAAAGAAATGAAATGGAATTGTAAATTTATAATTATTCCATTAATATACGTACTTTTTTTGAAAACTGTCAGAGCAAAAGAGCCATTTGGCTCATAGTGTGGTTTAACCTTGAAATTGCGTAGGTTATTCTATTTTTGAATTCATTGGTTGGCACCAGAGTGCAAGCCCTCCATGACATTTTACAAAATAATCCCAATACAGCATTTTACTTATTTAATTCATTGAACCTCTCATTTCAATGTGGGTCAATTCTAAATTTGTATACTTTCCGTTGGGTGCATGGTAAATTGTCATTATGGATGTATTGCAATACTATTAATTCAAAATGAAGGAGAATTAAATAGATTGAGGCAACAAGATGTTGCACTTACTTTAATTTTATAATATGTATAATGTTTCTTTTGCTTTCTGGTGCTTTTTTTGCATTCTCTTTATTTATAGCATTTTGTTTTTACTGAGTGGAGACTAATAGAAAATAATATTAATCAAGTCTACTCTTTAAGTTTAAGTAAATTACCTTTATGTAAGGCCAGAGTATGGGAGAGTATTTGGAGTAAGGGGATAACAATAAAGGTAAATTAGGAGGAGTGGTTGAGTTAATGGGGGCTTTAATTGGACTGGTGGGAAGACAAGATTAAAGCTTTTTGAGGGATCAGGACACAACCAACAGAGGAGCAATAAGTATATCAAACTGCATGGCAGAGGATAGTTGGCTTCAGTTGCCAGAAAAGCATTTTAGACATCGTAAAAGATATAATCTTGAAGGTGTTCATCACCAAAGTACTTATAGACTACAAGTCAAATATAATTTATTGCTTTTTTCCAAGAGGAAATTTGTTAAAACTTAATCAATTCTCTGATCCACAAATTGAAATTGTTAAGATTGATTTGAAGAGAGAATGAAAGCTTCAGTCAGATGGAATAAAATGATAAACCTCACATATTGCATTGCCATTTCATTGACAGTAACGATTTAAAAGTTGTCTTAATGTAGATAAAATAACATACTTTAACAAAACAGAAAATGTATTTTGTTGTATCATCAGTTTGTATTTGTCACATGTCTCACAGACGTTCTATTGAAAGCATTGGGTATGGAATGGGAGCTGGACAGCCTTTCCTTTCACAAGTCTGATGTTTTGTTTGATCTGCTGAACAGTACTTTAGATCTGAACACAAACAACAGTGACATCACACCTCAAGATCAAGACAATGTAAAAAGGTAATGAGCAATCAGTTGCCCCAGTTTTGAGGAAGCTGTTAAATTAAACACAGCATTTGTATATGTTCAGGTGGTCAGGGAGATAGTTGGGTGGCCGCCAGCTGTTGGGGGGTCATTCTGATAATGCTGCTTTGCTGCTTCCCCCCCCCCCTCTCCCAGCACCTGCTAAAGAATTTTCAACTGGGTGTATTTAAACACTTCTATCCCTGATTGCAGTTAGTTACCTTGATATGCTGTCATAAAAATAAAAGGTACCTTGTAGGTGTACTATGTGAGGAAAAAAAAATTTAATTCATGTATGGCATCATTCCGTCTTCATGAGATGATGGAGTAGCTATTGACTCTTCATCAAATGGCTTACAAGGCATGACAGTCTTGGCTGCATTTCTCGCAGGAGAACCTTGATTCCTGGTTAAATTTGGCCTTCTGCAATATAAAAAATAATGTATAATAAATATATATGCTGTCTCAAACATGAGTGATGGATTCACTTTGCTTTCAATTATTTATTTTAAAACTAATATTTTGAGTTCGATATTCATCATCTTAAGATATAGTTTTTAGTTAGTATTAGTCTTACATGCTAGAGGGAGTATTTATTATAATTTAAATGACATCATTCTTTTAAAAAAAGGCCAAAAATGTTTACAAGTTTTTACTCCATGTATATTTTAGCTAATTAATTTGTTTTATTTGAAAATCTTATGTATTGCCTAAACAGCATTGAGCCGACAAAAATGGATGGTGCACAGCCAAGTAATAATTCCATTGAAATTGATCTTACTGAGATTACTAAGCCCAGAGCTGTTGCAAAGAAGGGTGATATCACAGTGATTGATCTCCTTATTGATGACCCATATGTAACCCAGAGAGGTAAATTTTGAATTTAATTATTTTATTGTTAAATAAAAGTAATCAGTTTTTATGCATCTGGGATCTGAGACTCAATTTTTAAAAAGCTTTGTGATTTTCAATCAATAATTTTGTATTGCACTGTAGCTGTTTCTTGAAAGAATAATATCATTTGAAGTATCTTAATATCCAATTCTATATTGATATTAAATCGTACATTTAGAAAACTGAATGTATGTCATGAAGAGAGTGTTGTTTTTTTAAAATCAATAAGGCAAGTCTTAAGCCAATGTACCTTAATATCTTTGTCAGCCATGACCACTGTGCTAAGTCATCTGTACAGAGAGGATGTTGATATTGACAGCAGAGATGCAGCTGGTGTATTTGCAACTTCCATGGCACTTGGGTTTAAACAGCTTAAAGAAAGGTGAGATTTGTATGGTGTATGTCAAATAGTCAGTGGGTGTGGCTGATTCTTGTTGTAAAAACAGGTTGACAGAATTCAACAGCTTTTTTTTACACTCTGTCCAATAGCTTACAGAGTATATTCTATACTATGCTTGTCTGTATAAATGAATCATGTTTATTCCTAGGGAACTAATATCATTAAAGGGATGTTCACTGATCTATCATGAGCTCTTCATCTCTAAAAATATTTTTTTTTCATTCATGCATAAAAAATATAATTACTCCCTAACTTATTTGAGCCCACCATCTTCACTCATTGTTTAGTCAAGATCCCTTGCCCACAAAGTGAATTTAACAGAGCTCATTTGCTCCAATAAATAATTAGTTCAATGAATAATAATAAACATTTGACACTCACATTCTAATTAACTCGACTCTATACATTTTATTTCTCATATAATTATTTAGCTTAGTGTTTTTTTTCTTTAAATGTTTGTTACCTTTCTATAATGATCATAATAATTTGTATTTCTTGTTTTTCATATCCAATTTCAGCTGTAAACTAGTGATGCTAAATTCTATAAGCTACAAGACAGTCTGTCATTACTACTCAGTAGCTTCTAAGGTAATCTATCAATAAATAACATTTCTTCTAGTAACTGGTAAAAACATTAGTTTATGAAAAAAATTAATGTTAGGAAAAATAAAGAAAATGTCAATAAAAATGCATTCATCAATGAATGAATGAAAATAAAAATTTGGGAATCATAATAAAAAACAAGACAACAAATATCAATAAAAAGATAAAAGTCTCAACCAATGTTTCTTGGTTATATTCACTTTTTGTACTAACTAGCCACACATTTCCTGTTTAATAAAGGACATATAAGAAAAGACAGCTTGTTTATCTTGGTTTAAATGATTAGTCAAAATAACCTACAGAAAAATTGACGTTAAAAAGCTAATAATTTTGTTAAAAAATTTTGTCAGTTTAAATATTTGTAAATTTACAGTTTGATGAAGAGGATGTTGTGAAAGTTTGTGAACACTGGCTTGAACTCAACTTAATACAAGATGTAAGATCAAATTAATTTCATGACAATTATTTGATTGTTATTTTAATATTTAATAAGGAACATAAATTGAAACAAAATTTTAAAAAACTTAAGAGTAGACTTCAGTACTTTGAGCAAAAATGTATCAAATAAACTTCTTCTTTGTGTTATACAGCTAACATCATATTTCTAAAACAGTATATGCCGAGATATTCTGCACCCAATGGCATATTATATGTTTAAATTTTGTAATTAATTTAGAAACATTTGAAAATATAAAAAAATCAAACTCCACATGTATATGTAAATTTTAAGATAGATTATTGCAAGATTGGCAGTTAAGTATTATTATTGATTAATAATTGCTTTAAATTAATGCTTTATCACTGAATTGGCTGAAACATTTTGTAAATTACAGCTGGAAGGGAGTTTAAACTGATTTATTAAAATTTTGGAATTCTATTTTGTCATCTGTGTGAACCTAAGGCACTATCATGTTAAGTATTTTAATTACAGCAGAACTTTGAAGATATAAACATGTATCTATTTAAAGTGTAACCAATTACACTTCAATCTTTGATTCACACAGCTATCAAAGCGCATCCAACTGAGAGACCTGAGTAATGAATTGCTGGAGAATACACTCAACTCTGACAGGTTATTTAGCAATATTATGATTTTATCCATATGTTAAAAAAAGATGAGATCTTTACCTGACAATTGTTATTGTAATTTCATGATTCAATGACTGGAGGAGACTGACTTGTATCCAGTACCTGTACTTAGAATTCAAATTAACTTATTCTGTGGTAGGGTTTGATAGATACTTACGTTATTTTATTATTTAAACACCTTCAATATTTTTAATGAACATATTTCATTTGTGACAGGCTATTTGTGCCAAGTGAATACAGTGTGTACAAGACAGTGTCTTCCTGGCTGTTCCTTCAACTCAATCCACAGTTGCAAGTCATGCCGTCCTACACTGTGGTCATCTCCTACTTCAACAGGTGTTATTAGTTGATTACATTATAACTTACTTTATAAAATCGTGTGTGAAGTTGAAAAACATAAGAGTTGTAACTAGTCTAAGGGGCATGTATAGGTAGGGTGTGATAAGAGTTGTAACTAGTCTAAGTGACATGTATAGGAAGGCTGTGATGAAAAAAACTTAATATGTTACCCAATGTGCTTGAGATATCAGGGTTTGGCGACATAAAAGAATCGGTATAACCGAGGAGAAAATGCTAAGATTTAGAGAGAATTTGGCGGTTCCACTTTAAAAACGTCGACATAACGGGGTTGGCAAGTTAACTGAGGTCGAGATAAGTGGGTTCAGTTGTATATTTTCTAGAAATCTGAAATACAAAATGTAGTCCTTTTTTTTTATTAGTATGCCAAAGAGCAGCTCCTTTCTGGACTCGGAATATGGACAGGTGTACAATTTTTTGTTTTCAAGTATCCGGCTGCATGGTATCACTGACAGTGAGTACACAAGAAATTGTGTCTTTAGTTGAATTATACAAATATCACAGAGAAGTTGTCATCAATTGTGATTGACATAAATAACTTTTAATAATGGAAACCATAATGATATACTTTACTTATATTTGATTTTGGTTCTTTAAATATATTGAAAATTCAAGCTATGTTATTAATTTTATTGTAGTCTCTCAATGTTTTAAGTTTGAAGATCAACTCACTGAATATTTTAATGATATTTGGAGGGGGGGTTCAACTAGGACTTTAGTAGTGGAGTAAATAATTGTATAACTCTGACTTAAGTTGTGTCAATCTTGGATTTTAATAATAGTGGCTGGGTTGTTTAAATTACAATAGATTACATAGAATCAAGTTTTCCATTACTTATTCATTTCACTTGGTGCCTGATAAGTCCCTTACACCAAATTGGAACCAACACAGTAACAATTATTTACAATTCACCATATCTATAGCTCTTTTATTCTTTCTTGTTTTGTTCTTTCACATTTATTCTCTTCTTCTATTGTACTCGTTAAATTCAAGGTAAAGATATTCAGGACATTCAAATGATGAACATCTTACCTCAGAGCTCCATTGTGGAGCTCTTGTCACAACAGATCACAGCAGTGAGTGTTTCACTTTTAAAATAAAACATTGTTATATACTTATTAGTTCAAAAACCAAATTTCAAATTAAAAACAATTTCTTACTAATATAAAAACAAATATAAACATTTAATGAAATAGAAAAGTAATTGAGACAAGAGGTATGAGAGTGAAACTTTTCCATTCTCTGCAGATTGTCATTAGTGTCTGTAATCTTTCATTGACTCTTAGGTTGTTGACCATGCGTTTACTATGAATTAACTATACCCACTTCTCTTCAATTCATTGAAATAAAATGAATATATAGGCTGGTGTTTATTTAGCAAAGTGGGTATAGTTAATTCATAGAGGTTACCTCAATTTTCCGTTTGATTAGATTAGTTTAACTTACATTTTAAAATGATTGAGGAGAAGAGGTTACCTCAATTTTTTTGGTTGATTAGATTAGTTTAACTTACATTTTAAAATAATTTTTTTTTAAAATTACCCTAAAATAAAGTCATGAGAACATTAACCGAATTATTTAATATGTCAAGAAAATAAGCCCCTCATATGATTGACAGAGTTGTAGAGCTAAATCATTACTTTCCTATCTTGCACAGCTACAATGTGGTGGTGATATGATGGGACTAAAGCAGTTTAACACAGCGGCTGTTAGACATGGATTTGTACTGTGTGATGTATGTTTCTAACATTAAGTTATTTATCAAATTTTTCTCTGAATTTTCAAATGAGGACCAATTTACTCAAATAACCTTAAAAATTGTATTTTTAAATCAACTGAAGAGCCTTGCACTGTCATTGTGACAGCAATCTTTTTTAAATTTAAATTTGAAAACTAAATTCTTTGATTAAATTTTTTTTATGAGTTTAAGCTTTCTGTAAAACATTGGAATTTTAAATAATAATTAATTATAGATTACTTAATAGTGTAATATAGTTAAATAACTGTGTTTAAGTTGAGTGAATGAAATAGTACGAACATTGTTTTGGAAATCCTAAATAATAATAGAAGACATGAGCAAAAATTTTGGGTTAGATCTTTCATCAGAAACACAATTAAAAGCAAAAGAGAATGAAATCAGAATGTAGTTTAAGGAGGCTTGGCAAAAGTGGCTGAGCCGAAAAAAAAAAGTTACAACCATGAGATTATAAATCTAATGAAGAGATGATAAATTTTGTTAACATTGCTATGTTGCAATTTATGCTAGCCACTTCTAATTGATTAATATAAATTTTGTTTGGAGACATTGAAAAAGTAACAAAGAAGAAGTTATGGGCTAGGTGTTGATGTTGTTTAAATAATTTAATTCCAACTATTAAGAAAAATGAGTGAACATTAAACTCATATCTTTGTTAAATCCTTTGACTCTGCTCTTATAGGTTTCATCACATTCTGAAGTGTTATCCCTCTATGGCTTTCACTTTGAGTTGAAGGCAAAGAGGAAAGATTATGAAAGCTGCACATTTCAGTTTTACTTTAAGGTAAATTGATATAAGAGTAGATTGTTTCAAAATGCAAGATTAGCTTAAATGCGAAACGATAAGGTGTAACATTAATTTGTACAAACTTCTAGCTATTGAGTATTTTCTATTTGCATGTATGATTTTGTAATTTTTTTTAAAGTAATATGATATTGGAGAGCTATAAAGATAAAGCTCATTCATGAAATATATTTCATTTGCTAAATTTTTGCCGAAAATCCTTTTAAGGTGTGTGCTGTAATACTTTTGGAGCTAATTAAGGCCTTTGAGGCAATAGTTTCACATTACATTTTTCACTAGAGACTTAAACCCAATGATCCCATCCTGGGCTTCCAAAGCTGTGAGAGGAACACATTCTCTCTGAGATCTGAGAGGGAAGTGAGGTACTGTGTCACAGTCCAGTATGACTTAAATGGGATCCAGTTCATGGAATCCTCTGGAGTTCTCTCTTCAAAGTTTGGACTTGGGCGGACCACCAGCAAGAGCAAGGTTAGTAATAAGTTGTAACCTACAAAACTTGAAATTAATCATTATGCTTCTGCACAGTTTCAATCTTGTATAATTAGAATAAATGTCCACTAGTTTTTCTCTTGCCTTGTTAATGTTACAAATGCTAAAAACATCTTCTACAATTTTCCTCTTCAGTGAATTAACCCCCATCCTCCCCATTTGTTTTTCATTCTAAAACTTCAAATATCAGAGTAACAATAATTGATAAAAACTTTATCAACAATTTTTATCATTTCCATTTAGTAGTTTTTAGACAAAGAGTCAACAAATTCATTTTTTTTCAACGCATAAGATAGGAATTGGGCTGAATACTATTTAGATAACAATAGTCTTTAGCCCAATAATTCTAATCTTAAGCTTTGAATTTGAAAAAATAAATTTTTTGTCTCATTTGTTTCTAGAAGAATGACCAAGCTGTTACTCTTGTTTTCTGTTCTCACCAGATTCTCTCTGTGGATATCCAAACCACGCCTGTGTATATTTCCTATGCACTTCAGCTACCTCCATCATAGCACTTAAGAAGGTCATAATATAAAGAAAACCATATAAATATAAAAATTCTGTAGGATGTAGGTTTTTTTTTACATTACAAATACTTTTAAATATTAGATACTAGGATTTTATTATCTACCTATATTGTCTTAGCTAAAGAAATACATTTTTCAATCCATTTTTTTTCATTAGGCCATAAATATTTTATCCCCAAAGGTCAATGTAAATAGTTCTGTTTTGTATGTGATTTTTTTATTATAAAATATGTTAAAATTATTAAAATGTTAACTTATAAAACTAAAATATATTTCAAATATGGTTTATAATTTTATTTTTAAATTTAACTCGTTTTTACAAGACCATAACTTTAAAAAGAATTAGTTTGTGCCTGCTTATTAGACATTTCATTCTTGATAAATAATCCAGTGAAACTTAAAACCAACTTGCTGCACAACTTTGTATTATTAATAACTAGATCAAGCCCACCGAACATTGGGGACAGCAATGAGTGAACTTCCATGCTACTAAAGCTACTTGAAAAAACATGAACTCAAGTAATGCATATTTAAGAATCCCAATTTTTGCTGTACCCTTTGCCCCCATGATATGTCACTGCACACTTTTTATTCATTATACAGTCGTCTGATTTTTTAAAAATTTTTTAGAAATCTATGGTAAAATATCCTGCTTAAAGTTTGGGTTTGCATTATACCAGCATGTACGTGTAAGGAATTTTTCTTTAAATGATGTATTATACACATGACTGTGCCTATGCAACCAAATCAACTTGACCCACTAGCTTTCCATGACAAGCATACATCGTATGAGCACAAAGAAAGTGATTTAAGTAGCGCCACTTTGAAGGGATGTTACCATAGTTGTATTTTTTTAAAAAATATAATAAGGTTAAGAATTTTGACATCTTAAAAAAAAAAAAAAATTCTTTAGTTAAATCTTATTGTATTATTAATAACTAGATATAGCTCTCCAAACATTGGCGACAGCAATGAGTGAACTTCCATTCGACTAAAGTTACTTGACAAAGTATGAACTCAAGTAACGCAAATTTAAGAATCCCAATTTTCGCTTTACCCCTTCCCCCCCCATGATACATCACTGCACACTTTTTATTTCATGCCCATGAACTATATTAAATATTCTGATGTCCTAACTACTTTTAAATCAAATATTTTTTACATCATACTTAAATTGAGACGATTTCATTTTTTTGAAAAGAAAATATTACGCACCAAAGGCAGTTTGCATTATAAACAAAAAATAATCATTCAGCGGTTATGGTGAATTATATTTTGCACGCTAGTGAACTCTTTATTGAACAATACTTTCTTTCAAACATATAGAATTATTTTTTAATATACTCTCACTACCAACTACGCTGAATAGAAAGCAGCCAGCTTGTTAGGAAGTAGCCGGAATTGGAAGCAGTCCACCAGTCACACCAAAAGGGTAATATATATAAGAGATGTTATGGAACATTAAAAAACATCATTACAATTGGACGTGGCATTTTTGGCCTTTTTCTAAGAACATGGTTTTGCATCATGTCATGCACACTAAAATTAGTAATACAAGGTAACAGATTCCTTTTAAAGTATGTATTGTCATTTGTCGGCTAATGTTTATTTTAGTTTTAAAACATAATAAGTTTATAAATTAATAGTTTATGTATATAGTGGTGGAAACTAAAAGGAAATTGCCAATGTAAAGCATTTCTCCTTGCTTTTCTTCCCTTAATTATACAATTAATAATCTTTACAGACAATTAAGATACATATTTTTAGAAATAGCGAGTACTTTATTTTAAAGATTCACGAAATAAAATAAAAATACAACAAACCAATGCTATTACTTTTATTAATTGTCTTTTTATTCAAGTTTAATTGAAGTAATGTAATATTACAAAATGAGGCAGATCCTTTTACCTTTCATGTAAAAATATAGTATAAAAATGAACACATTGACCAACAAAAATGTGAGGTCAAAAACTCTCTTCTTAACCCCACAAAATAAAGACCCATGGCTTTTAAATACATATATACAAGCATAGGGTGATTTTTAAATTCTTTTTTTAATGGCAAAATTTTTGTGTAAAAATCCCCTTTTTTTTTTTTTTTTTTAAAATCACCTCAGCTCACATTTATGGCAGTGATCCTTTTGTCAGGGATACCTAGACAAACTGATATGATCCATTGGGAATTAGTGTCAAAAATATGTCGAGGAAAAATGAAATATTTTTTTAAAGTCCTGGTAATATTACATTTTTTACTTTTAGGGGTGTACTGTCAGAGAACAGAAAAAAAAGTAATTCTTGACTTTACAAAATAAATTTTGAAATGTAAGTTTGATTATATTTACTCCTTAATATCGGTATTAGCTTGTATTTTTAAAAAAAATATGACTTATTCGTTTTATGACTCTTGAAAAAGAAAATTGTGAAGAGGTGTAAGAACGCTTTTTAAATGGTTATTTATTACCTGGTTGATTATTACGTCTGAAAGATTAATTTCACTTAAATGAATTTTTAAAAAAAAATTAACGAAGATCAAATGGCCCATTTCTTTAAATTACAATAAAATGAATGCGAAAATCATGATATGAAACGGAGAATATAAAAATAGAAATGATTAAGTACGGTATAGGATCAATATCAAATAACATTTTATTATCTACACATGCTGTAAATAATACTTGGAAGTCATACAGTTGTAATAGATATTTAAACTTTTTAGATTTTTTTCAGCTTAGAAAATATAAAAATGTTGCACAGATCAGGAGATTTTTGCATAACAACACATATTCTCGACACACAACGGTTGACAAAAATATATTTTCATTTCTTTTTGTATGCTGTCCCTCATCCTTCAGCCATTACTTATGGAACATGCAAAACATGAAAAATATGTTATATAATATAGAGAAAACAAAACAATGTAAACTTGTTCAGAAATAAACACAAAAAATAAAAATTGTATCTTTAAAAAAATCACAGTTAAACAAGGAAATAATAATTTGATTCTGCTATTATTAACATTTACAGCAATACTTTTTACACAAATTATTTTAAATCATTTACTAATTGATGTCTGACAAGTGATCCATAACTTCCTATTGATTTTCTCCATAATAAGTTGCAAAACAGATTTTTATTACAGGTCTCCTCCACCAAAGGAAAATTATAAATTTATTAGTTAAAATATTATGTGCTGATTTCACCCCCTCAAATAAAATAATTTATTGCTTTTCTTAAAACTGAAATAATTGTGCTTGAATGCATCAAGATGGGGAGGGGATTGTGTTAGGGATGTGGTGGTCTATGGCATCAAAGAATAAGCATAACTTTGCTGTCCAAAATGTAAGTTGAACTGTGAAATAAAAATGAACAAACTTGCACCTTATGTAAACAAATAAGTTTAAATTATGTCTAAAAAAAATTAATTTATGTACGCTCAGGGTACAAAAGATGTACAATCAATTTATTAGCAAAATTAATTTCAATGCCCAAGTCATCAAGAATTGTAAAAGAAAATATTCAGTGGATTAGATTTTCTGAACACTCACTCTCCTAAACTTGAAACATTATGTAACAGAGAAACAGAATTATGTCAGCTGAAGTACAAACAAAATGACTTTCAAACCTCTACCAAGATTTGGCCAAAACCATGTTTTTAAAACTCTCAAATACGTTTTTTAAACTTCAAAATACCATCTACTGAAAGTAAAAATACAAAACATTCTCTTCTTCATATAACACCAGAATGTTTAAATTTGAAGAGAAAAAAAATGATCACATTCGCACAAAGCAAATAATACCGAAAGATCTAAATGCAATGAAGTCATACTAGATAGTCATTTATCATGGAAATTATTAGTTATTTTGATTCATTATTTTTTAATTAAGTATTAAATCAATTCCATTGAAGAGGTTCTATTTTTAGGGCAATTATGAAATGAATAGTATTTACTTGCACTACTAAGGGTTAAAGAGATATGGACAAGCCATGTTCAAAAGAGATCTGATTTGCTGAATATATTCATTACTTGTTTCAAGTTAACTTGTCCACCCGAAAACCGCTTTATCACAAATAAAACCCCTTGAACATAAATATCATACATCTGTTGGCTAATTTGTCTAACAAAATATTTAATGCTTGTAAACTATTGGCTCTGTGATATCGGAGAATATTTCAACAGCAAAATCTAACTGTATATTAAAGATATTATACTTAGCCCTATGTACTAAAAAAAACACACCAGCACTAAGTATTAAAGAAAACAAACGGCCACTATGTACTTAAAAAAAACATACCAGCACTATGTTACGTTATTTACACAATCATTACTAAATTACTACTAACAATATATTAATTATTAATCTTTAACTGTAAATTATTTCCATCTGAGCACCTTTGCATTAGATCATTCGATATTGTTCACTCATAAAAAACTACCCTGAACTGCAAAGCTGTCCTGCTCTCAGTGCATCATCACAGTCACCAATCAAGAGAATCAAAAGCTTACATTTACGTCCAATTTAAAAAACAAAAAAAATGTCGAACAAAAATATCAACATAAAAACAGAGACAAAATTTCTGAGATTACAAAGGACTTTTCATAGATTATCTTTAAACTAAAAGTTGATTTGAATTTGTCCCATGATCAGGCTGGCTTTAATTCTAACACCAAATGATAAAACAGTTGATCAACTCCTCCGCCCCAACTGTCAATAAAACAATAAAGGATGATTAACCCTATACTTGCCAACTACAGCAATATTATAAGACATATGTTTCCCCACTATTGCAATCGTATTAGACGTATGTTGCCCACTACTGCAATTGTATCAAAAATATGTTGCCCAATAAAACTATTGTATTAGACATATGTTTCCCACTATTGCAATTGTATCAGATATATGTTGACGAATAAAGCAATTGCATTAGACAATATGCTTAAAAAAACATGTGTTCATTTACTGATATGCTGGAAACATGTCACAGTGAAGGACTAGATTAGACTTTCAAGAGTTTTAGAGAGAAGAATTTCAAAACATTTTTATCATGCAACCTGGAAAAATAGCTGGAAGTGATTTTACAGGTTTAAAGGGGGATTTATGGATGTAAAGCGGGACTTTATAGATGTAAAAGGGGACAAATGTCAAATCAGTAAGGAAAATGTAAAAAAAATTTTTTTTTTTAAATTAATGTAATAGCTTAGATAAAATATAATTAATTGTAAATAATTGATTTTAAAGTCTGATTAAAATGGTGGATACGTAGACTAGTATTAAAAATTTGCTGAACTTTAAAATTTGCTGAACTTTTATATCAATATAAGCATTACACTGTAGAGTTTTTGTTTAGTGAAATAAGGCTCTCAAAACATATAGTTAACATGCATATAAATCCTTAATAACATCTTAAAGGTGTCCCTAAAAATAAAGCCAATCCCTTGCTGCCTCTCAAAATGGATAGATGGTTTCAATTTTGCCTGACACTTGTGTGCAGACCATTTTGACTTGGTTGGACCACACAGTGTATTTATAGGCCAGCACTACAGTGTTAGGTGTCTTTAACTCCCCTTTCCTTTGGAGGTTTGCGTCCAAACTGAAGCCGGCGCCTCACGCGACAGAGTGCAGCTGAAAATATAATACGAAAGTTTCTTCTAGATCTATGAAATTGTTAAAGTTAAAACTGAGAATTTTTTTTTTCTTTGCATTGTTTACAATTTAGATAAATTAACCATATTATTCTTAAAATAACTTAAAGTTGCTTTAACCTAGTGTCAAAAGCCTAACGTTATTTAATCATAAATCAAAATATGAGACAAAGGGAAACCGCCACTAAATTCAGAATTACTTGAGGCACTCACTGCTCATACAATGTGGTCAACGTGCACTTGATGATTATATGATTTGATAACTATTCAATATGTTCTAGTGAGTGGCTTAAATTACACCTGCACATTACTTGATGGTTTCACAAAAACCAGTGAAATGTTTTTTTTAAAAAGCCCCCAACACAACACCCCCACCCCACTTTAAAGAGTATTTATTTTTCAATTTTTAATTTAAGACATGAGCTGCTAATAGAGTTGGACTTGGAAAACTCTCCACTCTAAAGCACTTTATTTTAATGATGTTGTTTGATGAGATGGTACCAGACTTACCATTGCCCACCAAGGTGAGATGGTACCAGACTTGCCATTGCCCACCAAGATGAGATGGTACCAGACTTACCATTTCCCACCAAGATGAGATGGTACCAGACTTACCATTGCCCACCAAGATGAGATGGTACCAGACTCACCATTGCCCACCAAGATGAGATGGTACCAGACTTACCATTGCCCACCAAGATGAGATGGTACCAGACTCACCATTGCCCACCAAGATGAGATGGTACCAGACTTACCATTGCCCACCAAGATGCCCTGTGAATGTGAAGGAGGTGGGGACACAAAGTGCCCATTCCTGCGACACGCCTCTGTCCTCCTGGTCATGTATCTGGTAGGGGACAGACTTATTAAAGGTGTCCTCTCTTTCACTGGAGTCACTGAAAAACGTAACAAAAAATCAGGATTGATGAAGTGTATTGTTAAAAAATAACAAATCAGCATCAATGTATTGTATTGTTAAAAAACCAAAGCATTTCAACAAGCAGTTTCCCTCAGTATTGACATAGGTTAAGGCACATAAATCTGTACACATGTGACTTAAAACTGTCTATGACTCCATGAGACTATGACTCCATGAGACTATGACTCCATGAGACTATGACTCCAAATGACTCTTTGAGACGATATGAACATATGAAGACATATAAACCAATGACTCCAAAT